TGACACAGCGCAGAGCTACCTCAAGCAGCCCTCTCAGTTTCCGCCGCTTCCGGACTAATCACAGATCCCAGTGCCTGTGGGAGTGCCCGGAAGAACCCATCACCCAGGCGCGAGTGGAGGCCAACACGCAGTATGGGTGCTGGGTCCCCTGGAGTGTGGCATGCGGACGGCTGGCCCTGCTCAGTGAGGCACGGTCTGCCAGGTCTCAGGGAGGCTGCCTTGCTCAGCTGGCAGAGGGTCTCATCTTGGCTTTAAGAGCAGCCCGACGCCACAGTTTCGTGGAGATGAGCCGTGTCTCCAGCACTCAGCGGCGAGCCCCTCAGAGCAGGCCTCAGCACAGCATCTCGGTGCCTCTCGGGCTTTGCTCTGTGTTAGGCCCTGAACAGGCTTCCACCCCTGCTCCTCTCCCCGGGAGCTGATGGCTTCGAAGGATGAAGGGGGCACAAAAGAGATGTTTGTGTGCATTCCTGAGGACCGGCCATCAGACCGAGCCTCCACAGGCCGCAGGTGTGTGCCAACAGCAGGGGGGACATGTGGCACTTAGGGGGCCAAGACTGACGGCCCGAGGGCAGACGAGAATAGCAACACGAGGCCTGCCTGGTGCACTCACGCCAGTTCGCCAGGCCCGCCTGGCTCCTGATTTATTTACTCAAGCATCTTGCCTCTCACTGAAAAGATCTGGCACCTGGGAGTCTACAGCACCCTCTCTCCACCCCTTCAGAGGGGCACTGCTTCTCAGGCGGGGCCAGAGCCTGAGACGGGAGTGGCGGGCCTGGGAAACAGGCCTGAGGAAGGGTGTCTGGCTCTAACACACCCCCGCAGGCCAGCCCTGCACCCAGACCCCTTCAGGCACACTGCCAGGTCCACAAGCGTCCAGAGGAGAAGCCAGGTAGTGACAGGGCCGCGGGACCACGTGTGAGCAACCTCCGCCTGGGGACAGATGCTCGGTGTCCAGGAGAAGAAAAGGGGCTTCGGCTGCCCCAGGGCCTGGGGGTCTGGGAAAGGCGTGACGAGGAGGGAAGGCTGATGATGTTAAGGGCGCAGAGCAATACACAAACATCGTACACATAATAACATCATCTCAACCACATTTGAAATAAACATCAAAGCACTGACGATGGCTATTTGTGGATGCGGCATCAGAGAAAATTACTCCTTTCTCCTTTGAACTTCCTTTTTCTTTAGATGAGCATGGATTTTGCAATTGGCATTTTATAATCAGGAAGGAATGTTACTAAGGAAAATGAAAAAGAGAGAGTCCGGTACGGCCTCTGTCTGTTTCTAGGAAGCATGAGGCTGGGTCTGGGCCCAAATGGTCTCGGCCCCTCTCTCAACGACTGCATCCCTGGGCCCAGAGCCCCAAGATGAGGCCCCTCACCTGTAGCAACTCCAGATCAGATGAATCTTCCTGCCCAGGAACCATTTCCGTTAACATCTCAGACATGACTTTTGTGTTTCCTCGAACAATGTCCAGTTCGCTCCGCAGCCTGGCGATCTGTTGGGCCCAGAGGAAGGAAGAGGGAGGGAGAGGTCGGTCACCGTGCCTGGCCGGGGACGCCGCCCTCACTGGGACACAGGCCGCACTTCTGAAGGAGTGCAGCAGCAGCACTGTCTTGTCTCCCTCTGGTCTAGAGAGTACTGATGGGGGGCGGGGGGGGGCACCTGGAGAGCCCGGTCACCCGTTGGCCCCCGACTCTGCCCAGGACTGGGAGGCAGCACTGGGCAAGGAGAGCGCTCTGGGCCCAGAGGACCCAGCTGGTCTGCAGCCCCCGCTTCCCCGCCCTGGGGCAGGGACTCGCCCTCAGGCCTCTGCCTCTGCTCTTTCCAGGGAAAGGTGGGAGGTGTGGTCCCCAGTCCCTTCAGCACTGGGATCCCTGCTGAGGAACCGAACAGTTATAGACTCTGGCTCCCAGCAGCTTATCCTCAAAATACTATGTCCTTCTGAGAGGCTGGCCAGGCTACGCACACTTTCCTGGTGTGGCAAGAGTGAGGGAGAGGCACTGAGAGAAAACCACAAGGAAGGCCACTCCCTACCAAAGGATAATGACCCCCTGGAAGCTACCCAACCCGCCCACACAACAGGGTCTCCAAAGCCTGGCCTGGGCCACCTCTC